TTTGCTCTGTTTTGTATATTGGTCTTGGCATCGGGATACTGAAAGCTCTAGGACTATTTCAAGTCACTCCATGCTCTTGTCCCTTCACTCCTTGGGTTCTATGCTTAGGATTCACTTCATGCTTCTGCTCTTTGGCTACAAGTTAGGGAGTTTGGCTTCGTTCCTAAATTCAATGGCCCAAGGTCTTGAAATTTGAGTTCCATTCCACTGTCCTTTGGACACGTGGCATGTGGCACATGGCATATAACATGTGGCATATAGAGGGTTTAGGTTCTACTTCTTGGTTATCCTATGGTAAATCATCATAGGATAAAGGGTAAAAACTATATACATTATAGAAAGATAATTAAAAATAACAAAAAATTCCCTTGCTAGTAGATTGGTGGTATATAAGGGTGGTAAGATGGGGGAACCTCCTTCTTAAGGTTTGGTTCCAAATAGTGTTTCATAGAAGTTTTGTAAAAATTATGCTTAACATTGATGGTATTACTTTTATTCCAGAGATGAAACATACAAGCTGGTTGGCCACACAACTATACTAAAAGAAGATTAGCTTGTATAATATATGTTGTGATGACTTGTCAGAGGTCTTGTTTCAATGCATCAGTTATAAATTGTGTCTAGAGCAAAGATACATAGGATTGGGTCTAGAAGCTTTACTCAAGGAAAAGTGGCAAACCAGGAAGTGCTAGGAAACAAGTAGCAAATGTAGCAGACTTTAACAAAGATGCTCATGTTATAAATATTTATGTTGGATTAGAGTGGCTACAGTGGGGACCAGAAAACAATGTATAGGAAGCATACAACAACAGATTCACATACTATTGCTGACACAGGCTAGAATTTATCAACGTTAATGTGCCGGTTTGTGATTTTTCATCAAGAAAGAATTTGAACTTCAATGACAATGAAAAATCATAACAATGAATGAACTTTATGACTTTACATCATATACCAAACAAGAAGGTCACATGCTATTGTCACTTGGAATGCAAGAAGAGAAGATGCATGAAGGAACTTTCAAGGAATATAGTGGCACCATGTGTCATAAGTTTTAGTACATACAAGGACATTAGAACACTCTAAATATTTTGGTTCTATAGTGATAATGTCCTCCACAACTGAAACCAGGTACAATATTGTTGAATTTGGTGATCCACCAAAAAAATGGCCAAAGCTGTGCATAAATTTAATCCTCATACTAAATGAGAAATGACAAATTAATGATATCATTCCATTGTTAGCTGTGTTAAGAGAGATGATAGAAAATATCCTAGAAGAATATTTTTTTAGGATCTTTCATAAATGGCTGCTCTTAGGGTTTGAAGAATACCCAAATTTGAGAATCAATCTCCTTCAAAAACAAAAATGTTCCCTAATTGAAAGTTTCCACTTAAAATACTTTCCCCATGTAAACTCTTTTTTTGCCACTTAGAATGAGCTAGAAGAGCTTGTGAGTTTATTCAAGACATAAATGGGACAGGGTCATGAATTTCATTCTGATGACGCAGATACGGTTCTATGGGTCTTCAAGGCTAACTCCATCTCTGTGACCAAGGGTTTGATGGAGGACTTTTGAACCAAGAAAAGAAGATGGTTATGTCAGGCCCTAGATATATCTGGGCCCCAATGTGTCTGGGCCCCGGATATGTCGGGCCCCAGATATGTCTAGCCCCGAATATGTTAGGCACTTGAATATATCCGGATATGTTGGGCCCTAGATATGTCTGGCACTCGATATGTCTGGCACTCGATATTTTCATACCCTAGATATGTCCGGGCCCTGATATCTCCAGGCCCCGGATATGTCAGACCCTCGATATGTTGGGCCCCGGATATGTCAGGCACCCAGATATGTCTAGCTCTTGATATGTTTGGCACTTGATATATCTAGCACTTCATATGTTTGGGCCCTGCCAGCCTAGATATATCCGAGTTTTATTTTGACATGTGGCATGCATTTGGCTTATTCTTATTGTTAAATTTTTATAGTTTTCAATGTGTGCCATATTGACACGTGGCATGCCCTTTGGCTTGTTATAGTTGGAGTTTAGTGTCCTTGACCTTGTATGCCATGTGACATACATATGTTTGTACTTGCTTGCCATGCCACATGGTGACATTCACAACACTTTATTATGTACTAGTTAATAACTAACAACACAATCTGGAAAGTACACCTTACATTCACAATTGTAAGTGGTTTTTAAAGACCATACACTTAAATGCTATAGAATAATACTCAAAGTTTATTTGTTAAAACAATGATTTTACAAAAATAATTGAGACTTGTAAAGAAAAATAATAAAAGAGGTCACTTAGACTTCTCGGGTGGTCATCTAGCTTAGTACTATTCAAGCCTAAAGACACTTAACTTTGGAAGTTTAATGGGATCTAGTGCTATAGTCACAATTTGAACCCATTCTAAAACATTTCACACTCCCCCTACTCTTATAGTGTGGGACAACTGATCCAAAGCTACAATGTACCTCCACAATCTTGTGTTCTTAGGTGCCAAAAAACATGCCCACAGAATGTGTGTACCTCCCCAACATTTCATGAAAACCACACATTTTGGGACCTAAAACACACCCTACAAAATGTGGGGTACCTCCCCAACATTTCATGAGGACCGTGCGTTTTGTGCCCAAAAAAATGCTTGGTGAAATCTGGGGTACCTCCCCAACTTTTTGTGAATAATCACACATTTTGGGCCCTAGAAAAAGCCCATGGAACACATGGCACTTGAAAAATCTTGTGTTTTAGGCCTCTAACTTTCCCCTCCTTTTTTTTCCCCTCCCTTCCTTCCATACCATGTGGCAGGCATGTAGGGCCTCCCCCCCCCCCTCCCTCATGCACACGCAGGCTGAGCACCTTCTCCACACACTTTGTCCATCACATGCTAGGTGGGGGCCCCTCCCCTTTCCTGCCGTGTGATGCTGGCCCTTGCCAAGTAGCCATGCTGCCCCCCAGGCTTGCCTCCCTTGGACACCAGAGGACCACATTGCTGCCTCCCTCCCCCTCGCTTGATAGGCATGCAGATGTGGTCCCAAGGCCATGCCTATAGACGGCATAGCACAACTCTACCAAACATTGGAGTGGGTGCTAGGGAAGCCACATTGAGGCTCTCTCTGCAGCTGAGAACTTTTATCGCCAGATGCTTTATCTTATGTTTGTCATGTGATGGTGTTATAGACATGGTTTTGTCATCATTTGAGTAAAGTGGTCAACAAGTTTCAGTAGTTGGTTGCACATGCTAAAGCTCAAGATGTTGAGGTGATCTCTTATGAGACGAGATGGATGCACCTTTCTCATTGGTGCATGGGATTCTTTATTACAATAGCCGTGTATATTTGCCATGGATGGATGTGTTAATTACTCAAGTTTTATTTTGCTATTATGATCGTCCAGAGGCCGGTCATTTTGGGGGGAAAAGACAAGATAAGCCTTCGGAATCATGGTAACCTGCCCCAGAGGCCGTGTGGCGGATGTGCCGGGGTCAGTGATTGATGGGGGTGGTTCGTTGGGTTTCGGGGGGAAAAGACGTATGAGTTGATTAAATACAATTTTTTTGGAGGAATATGAAGGCTGATATCCTCAAGTATTGTAAATCATGTGAGCTTTGTCAACAAGTAAAGGTGCCATGGGAAAAGCCGAAGGGACTTTTGGAACCTTTACCTATTCCTCAGAGCTATTGATATAATATCTTTATAGACTTCATCACTTGTTTGCCATGAACACAAAGGCAAAAGGAGTAAATATAGGTTATAGTGGATCAGTTGACAAAGTATATGCAGTTGTTAGCTCTATTAATGCCTCAAACTTGGCTACGGTCTATTTGGAGAAGGTTTTTCTTAATTTTTGTTTGCTAGAGGACATCATTACTGATCAAGATTCAAAGGTCATAAATGGATTTTGGAAGAGTTTTGCAAAGGCTATGTAAATGACTTTGAAACTCTCTAGTGAAGATCATCCTCAGACGGATGGGTAAACTGAGTGTGTGAATTAGGTGGTGGAGGATATATTATGTTGTAACGTTGGTTAAAAGCAAGGACAATGGAATTTATATTTTCCGTTGGTGCAATTTACTTACAACAATAGTTAACATGATGGAACTAAACTAAATCTTTACTTTGCCATGTTTGAAAAGCATCCCTGAACAATGGTGGAGTTGAGATTACATGTGAGTAAAGATGTTTAAAATAAGCTTAATTTAGATGCAACTAATCTAGCCACAGAACTTGATGAGATTCTGATGGTGTGCAAATAAAATTTACAAGCAACTTAGGATAGAACAAAAAAGTTTGCTAATAAATATCACCAATTCTGAGAATATAAAATGGGTGATCTCATCTTTGTGTAAGTGATCTTTCCATCAAGTGAGTAGCAAAACACCTTAGTGCTTTCATGGACAAGGAAGAGTGACAAACTTTTCTATCAATATGTTAGTCAATATAAAATGCTAGAGCACATTGGTAAAATGGCTTATTAAGTGTGCCTTCTGGTGAAACTCACAACCATTCATATGCTATTAATCTTAGCTGCAAAATTGGATCTTGAGTTCTTGGGACTGTCTTACACCACAGTTGTGCTATGTTGCCAAAAACCACATGTATGCAACATACAATGATAGTGTCCGATTACGAAGCCTGCAATCACATCAAAGACACCAACTATGCCATTTGCATGTTAAGGATCGTCCTCTGTTGGGCTCTGTTGCTTGAACTAACTTTTCCATCTCTCAAGGCAGAGGCTGCAAAACGGTTGAGAGTGTGCCTGATGGAGCCACACGATGTAAGCTCACTGCATTTGTTTTCCAGCATTGTTTCAAGGAGCAGTACGAGAAGTGAAGACCAACAAGGACCATGAAAGCTCTGGTTTCTCAGTTCCATCTCCAGATGGAATGAGGCTCTTCCCACCTCAGCATGTAAGAATCGTTTGGGAGTTTAAGGGTTTCCGTGATGCTGAAGAGTTATTGGACAGGGCTTATTGATGGTGGATGACAAGCAAACTTTAATCTTGAACATATAGTTTTTGAGCTGTGACTGCAGGAGAACATGTTATATAACTGTCCTTCCATAACGCTTTCTTGAGAGGACGCAGCTTTCGACATATATGTACGCCTTCCAGATACAAGGTGACAGCCATCGAATCTTGAATCTTTCTCATTGGTGGTACAAGCGTCTTATCTCGACCCTAGCCTCGCTCAGGTTCTCTGGTTTGGAGACGAAGTTGAGACCATTCCTGGCTCACCAGATGAAAGCGCTTGGATGTTGCCACCATTCTTGGCATGGCTAAGGACACATGCAAACCAGCGCTTGGAAGTTCATGTCCGGCGAAAAAACACTTTGTACCGATTTACGTATCAAATCTCCTCCTCTGGTGTTGTCTGTGAAAACCATATAAGCATGTTGGAGCACAGTTGATATCAGATATAACTCACCTCTTTTGCTGGGAGTCCTTGTTGGAACTAGGAGGAGAATTTGTGTTTGTAGAAGCCGCCACAAATCCCCGTAGAGGAGGTGTACTTGTTGTAGAAGCGGCCACAAATCCCCGTAGAGGAGGTGTACTTGTTGTAGAAGCGGCCACAAATCCCCGTAGAGGAGGTGTACTTGTTGTAGAAGCGGCCACAAATCCCCGTAGAGGAGCACTAGCAGCAGCGACAGATCCCGGTAGCACGGTGTTTGTAGCAGCACCTCCAGCACTCGATGACGCAGCAACGAAGCTGTCCTTGAAGCGTGTCATCATTGACGATGATGGGCTTGAGCTCGCTGCTCCCACTCCAGACGACTTTCTAGCCTGATGGACAGGCGCAGAAGGATTGCTCGAGGCATCCCGGCTGTAGCCAATTCCCAGGCCGTAATCAACACCACGAACTCCACGACCTCCACCACCACCTCCTTTTCCCCGTCCCCCACCTCGGCCTCCTCTCCCTGAATGAAACAAACAAGCACATCACGTCTCAAGCCTTGACTTCCACTTGTTTTCTTTACCTTTGCCACCTTTCCTCCGCCCTTCCCGTTGGGCCCTGAAGCGTCCATCCTGCTCAGAGAAGAAAGCACCAGTTAAGCGAAGTATAGAAAGAATAAAGAGAAAAATTACCTTCATTGCTAAGTCCATAAGCTCGCTTGGAACGTTTTGCCCGGCGGCAACGAAGCCGTTCACGAGGTCTCCGGCAAAACGAGCCTCTTTCTGCGCCACCAAAGTGTAGGCAACTCCCTCCTTGTCACCAGCACGGCCTGTGCGCCCAACCCGATGGACATGAGTGTCCATGTCCTTTGCAGTGTCGTAGTTCACCACGGTTTTGATAGACTTGATGTCCAGCCCCCGCGCAGCCACGTCTGTTGCAACTAGAACGTGAAACTGACCAGACTTGAATCCCTGAAGAACGTCCACCCGTGACGCTTGATCTTTGTCCCCGTGTAACGCCGCAACCTTGAAACCGCTGTCCTGGAGGTGTTTTTCCAGCTCTTCCACCCTCACTTTGGTTGAAGCAAACACGAGCACGTCCCCCGCATCCACCATCTGCGGAAGCTTGCTGAGCATCCACTGGAGTTTGTCTGCGTCGGTTGCGACGATTTGAGCTACTTGTGTGACGTCCTCGTTGGCTCTGCCGACTTCTCCAGCAGTCACACGCACGGGAGCCGAGAGAACTTCCCGTGCCAGAGTCTCGACTCTCCGAGGCATTGTTGCCGAAAAGAGAAGAGTTTGGCGGTCGGGTCGAATCTGTCCCACGATGGACCTGATTTGAGGCTCGAAGCCAAGATCAAACATCCTGTCGGCCTCGTCCAAGACCAGATAAGTTGCCCGGAACATTGTCAGCGCTTTCATCTTGAGCATATCAATGAGCCTTCCCGGAGTTGCCACAACTATTTCGCAGCCTGCCTTGAGCTCCTTGAACTGGTCGAGCTTGGACATTCCACCAAAGACGCCTGACACCCGGATCCCATAAGGCTTCGCAAACTTTCTCGACTCGTTGAAGATCTGCTGAGCCAGCTCTCGCGTAGGAGCACATATCACTCCGATAGGACCCTCGCCTTTACCCAGCTCCTCCTGATCCATGATGTGCACGATCATGGGCAGGACGAAGGCAGCAGTCTTGCCTGATCCAGTCTTGGCAATGCCGATGATATCACGTCCAGACAGAACGATCGGAAGAGCCTGGCATTGAATGGGTGTTGGGTTCTCGTAACCCTGCTTGGTGATGGCACCCATAAGTAAGCTGTCCAAGCCAAGCTCTTTGAACTGCCTTACGGGCCGAGGAACATCGAAGCCAGATGTTCTTACTCCAATGGACTGTCGATAGCTTGTGACATCCTCTTCGCTCAATCCTGGAAGAGGAACACAAGAAAACTTTGTTATAGGCAGAAGAAAAGATCTGCTACGTTACCTGAGATTGAAGCGTCCTCCTCGTAAAAATCCTTGTCGAAAGGAGCGTATTGGAGCTGGCTATGATCCAGAGGCGCGAGCGGGTCGATCTTCTTGCGATCCGCAGTGATAATGGCATTGTCGTCCGAGTCGTAATCCACCATGCCTTTCTCCACGGCTCTGGCAGCGGCATAGACCTCCTCGTCGGAATCATAGCCAGCGTGAAGCGCCTCGGCAGCCAGAGAGAGTCCAGCATCACGGCGAGCTTTGAGGAATGTCTCCATCGGATCATCCTCCTCCTCCTCCTCTTCCTGGATCCTGGAAGGCTTGCTGCCGGGTGTAGGGATCCTACTTACCTCCTCGTGAATGCCCTCCATGAATGCGTCGAGAGGATCCACTTCGTCCTCTCCATTTTCCCTCTCTGGCGCTGCTGGCGCTGCTGGCGCCGACGGCGATCGATCCTCCTCGTACTGGATGCTGTCCAGATCGTCGCCATCGTCCCATCCCAGCCTGCTGCGCTTCATCCTCGCCTAAAGAGAAATATATTTTAGGGTTCTTGAGAGCAATCTAGGTAGGGCTTTGGGCGATGGCTATGGCGTCGATACGAGCTGCGCAGAGAGCGGCGCCGCTGTTCCGGCAACGCTTCGTCTTCACGCAGAGCAATCTGGGGGCGGGCGCAGCGCTTCGAGCTTCCAATGCGGCTATCGCGCGGCTGAGGTAGAGCTTTCTTGTTTTGCTTGAGTGATTATGGTGAGATTGGGATTGTTCTTCCTTGGCGGCAGCACCACGGAGCAATCTTTGGATACTATGCTTCCCAAGCACAGCGCCAGGGCTGCTTCTCGCCTCGTCTCGTGCATTTCAATGGGCTCCGTGCGTCACGGTGCCGAGGGTGAGCAAAGTTTCTCCTTTGGTTTCCTTCTTTTCTAGATCATCAATGGAATTCTCTTGTTCGCGCAGGCTATTTCGTGCGCTACGTGAGTCCTTACTGAGGCTAAACCGGTACGGAAGAATGTGTACGTTAAGGTGGGTCAGCATTTTGTTTTTTCATAAAATTTTTAAAAAAGGTTTGGTCTGTTGCAACTTCTTCCGCTGTTCTTGACGAGACTTTGCTTTGCTTTTGTGAGACCTGTGGACGCCGCCGGCCACCTCCGCTCCGCCAGCCCGGTGGACGAGCGCCGCCTCTCCTGCATGGGCTTTAAAGTGGAGGAGGAGAATGGTGCAGGCTGGGAAGGAGAAGCCAAGCAGGAGACCACCAAACCGAGCGCAGCGGCCCATGATCTGGCAGGATGGCATGGCCGAGGTGAAGGAGACGTTCCGGAGGGTGGCATTGGTGAAGCACGCTGGGTTCTCGGTGTGGGATGACCCGCGCAGGGGTCCAACGCTTGAGAAGATCTTACGGTGGAACAGGCAGGCCAGGAATCTGTCACAGGTGCCAAAGTCACTTCGAGAGAAAATCCCCGTCAAGGTCCTCAAGGAGATTCAGAACAACCGCTCGGTCACTGGCTACGTCTCTCAGACACACCTCCAGAACGTCAAGGGAATGTGCCAGCGGATCCACTCGCAAAAGTCGTTCAACGAGCGCCGGAAGAATCTCTACGACCCGACCATGTATCCAGTCTTCGTCCGCCGTCCTCCCACTGTGGCTTGCCTCATCGACACGTCCGAGCTGGACACCAGCCCGAGAAACATGCACTCTCACTTCCGGAGCCGCAGGAGGCCTTACTCGTCCCCCGCGTATGATCATATGGCTCCGCTCTCCTACACGCCTCAGCCGTTCAAGCTGCTCTACGATATCTCAAACGGTTCGTATCCAGTGTGCTCGTTCGCCAAGAGGCCCAGGTCCGGAGCTGCGGCACTGCCTTCCTCGACCAGCTGCTACGGTCGAATGTTTAACAGGTCTGCGTCTGCGATGGCCAAGAAATCCGTGCTGGACATTGCAGAGGCTCTGGAGAGGCAGCGGGGATCGTCAGCTCCTACTGGGAACAGTCACCGGCAGCACAGGTCTCGAAGGCCGCCTTCCGTTTCATCGCCGTCGTCGTCAGCAAGCAGCACACCCAAGAGCATCACTAGGGGATGGCTCGACTTTAGAAGGAACAATGCGCAGCAGCAGGAGCAATCGAGCAACCGGAGCAACAGCAACGAGGGGGAGAGCAGGCCACCGTCAAGGTGCGCAAACCGGCCACCTTCCAGCAGATCGTCGTGGAGGATCAATCTGGTGGAGCGTCCGACGCTGGAGGATCTCTCAAACCGCAGCACCTATTCGGACTGCGTGTCTCTCGATTCTCTTGGGATGCCGGTTCTCTTCTCCTCGAGAGCAGCCGACGAAGCAACCAAGCCCAAGGTCTCGGTTCCAAAGCTACGTTTGAGAGGTGGCAGCAGCCCGAGGAAATCTCAGGTGACATCCTCAGCGCTCAGTATCGTGGAGCACGCGGAACAGAGCAAGCAGATCGAGCTGTGCAGCGGCGTTGCGACGTGCTCGGAGGACGAGGAACTTCGGGTATCATTTCAGCAGGAGCAGCAGGAGAGGCGGCCGAGACCATCCACAGCCAACGTCCCGCCGCTGGTGAATCAATCCTCGGATGGAGAGTCCTCGGAATGCAACTGGCGGCCGCAATCGGCATCCAATGCAGTGGGTCGCAGGGGCTCGAGGGTGACTTTCGCATCTCCAGTCGAAAGCAGATGGGATAGCAGCAACAAGTCTCGCCTCCGCAGCAGCATTGATTCTCCGGGAGAAGAACTTGCAAGCGGCGGAGAAGTGGAGGAGGAAATCCTGCTCGAGGAGGAGAAGGAGGAGGATGATGTGGTGGTGGTGGGAAACAAGGAGGAAGAACAGGAACAACAGGAGGAGAAAGAGGAGGAGCGGGCCAATAGCAGCAACGAGGACGTGATAATCAAGCACTCGTCCGACCCGTACGTGGATTTTAAGAGCTCCATGATGAGCATGATTGAGAGCGAGGGGCTGGAGATGGAGGGAAGCAGCAGCCAGGAATTGGACGAGCTCTTCCAGTATTACATGGATCTCAATCCTCGAATGCACCATCCCATTCTAGCTCGAGTCATCCGCGACATCAAACAAGAGTTGGATGACCAGCGAGCCCAAAGTTCCAAACTCTCCCCCTCGTCAACTTCGATCTAGGTGTCTTTAACGTTATTTTTTTCAATCAAGTGGTATTTTCCTTGGCATTGTGTATATAATGGATTGTCATAGTATGGCATTAGTCTTTGTTTGATATAAGTAAGACTCACTGACTGACCCAGTGACCACAATCTTGGCAAAGTCATGATCGGGATCTTGGATAATGATAATCGCATGTTTAAAGGCATTAGTTTTTAAGGCTGGCCGACCGTGGAGAGAATCCAGGCATGCATGCTTGTGATTAGCTTGTGATGGCTTAGCTGTATTGGTGGCACTTGGCATATTCTTTTTTCTCCTTTCCTCTACCGCATAGGTTCGTTATGTGGATTCATGAACCGGACCACCGGGCGCCCATGGCCGTCCATTCGTCCGTCCCTGGCACCCATCCATCCGTCCGTCCATCCAGCCGTTATACGTTCTTCCCCAGCGGTGAAAGTGGCCGGGGAAGAAAGGAAGGGCTCTAGAACGGTTAGATGGGGGAATATCCGCGGTCACATTTTTACCACGAGGGGACGTGACACGAAATTTTGCCTCTCGGTTAACGTGTGAGATTTTGTCAGGGTTTATGTTTATGACTTGTGGGTGCAATGCCGCAAATTCTTTTTTTCTTTTACGTGAAATACGTTAACGACCACATCCGCCGTCGATCGTGCGGTCGGATTAAAGGGCCCAAGTCCGAGAGTGGGGCATTGTGTGTTCTTTGCGCGAGGGAGGGCGTGGCGCGGCGCGGGCGAGTGGGAGCTAGCGAGCGAGCGAGGCGGCGGCGGCGGCGGCGACGACGCGTAGGCTAATCTTCTTCTTGTTCCTTCTGGCGCCTTCGATCAATCATCCATCGCGCGCACGCGCGCGTCTGTCCTAAGGTGAGAGATTTCACTATCGATCGGCGAAATATCCTTCGATTTCTCCCCATTCTCTCTTCTCGCGTGTTTCTTGATCGATCGATGGATGCCCGGTTCTTGCAGGCGATACAAATTTGCACATCTCGTGCATCATGACCGCGACGATACTGCTCACTTGTGCGCTCCTCCTCATCGGCTGCCGATATTTCGGAGGTAAATCGCGCAATGTAGCCCCGGATCTGTGCTCGGCGATCCTAATGGACGTTTCTCTTGGCAGGAAACGCATCGCGGAGTGTCGGGAAAGATCCCGCCTTCGCTCTCTCGGGCGAGGCCATTCATCACAGGCTGGAGACAGGGTCCTATGGTTCATCTGACGCAAGCTCTGGAGAGGGAGATGGAATTCGCGCATCGGAAAGCCACAAGCTTGCTGCAACGTCCCGGAAGCTACTTGCTGGAAGTAAGCCTCTTCTTCTCTCTGGATTCCTTCTTCATGACTATAGATCATCGGGCTGTGTGTCAATGCATTATAGATTATTTATTCTCTTTGGTGTGATCGATGCTAGTTGCGTCGCGTGCGACTTGGGCCCTCTTTCCTCGGCGACTCTTTATCTCTGCCTGTGTGCCTGCTTGAATGATCTTCATCGCGATCGAAGCCGGGAATGTTTCCCTCAATGTGGTCGATTCGATTCTAGCGGAACTAATTCCTCGCCTTTGGACATTGCCAGATTCGTGCACCAGCAAAGACATTAGCATTTCTCAAGGCCGCGACAGCTCGTCGTCTGGGATCCCGCAGTACGTTGTCCAGATCGTGAATACCTGCATGTCCGACTGTGCGCCTTCCAACATCCACGTCTTCTGCGGCTGGTTCGCTTCGGCGCCGCTTGTCAATCCCAAGGCCTTCCGGCGGCTGAATTACGACGACTGCCTTGTGAACGATGGGAAGCCACTGAGACACGGCGAGATCATCCGCTTCCAGTACGCCAACTCCTTCATGTATCCTCTCCGGTTCAAGTCGGCCAAGTTCTGCTAAGGATCAGGTGCTTTGGAGAGATGGATCCAGCAGCGCAGGGCAGCAAATCTAAAACTAGGAACCAAGGAATTCGAGCACGGACGACAGCTTGTATAGCCAACTAGGAAGGAAAAGGAAAGGGGCAGCAGAAGAATGACTTTGGTGGACAGGACATTTGGGACAGCAGGACAGGACAAGGAACATGACATGGAGCTGTGCGTGCATTTTGATTGACTCGAGAGGATTTCCAGGATACGTAGCTGTAGAGCTAGCTCAGAGATTTTTTGGAAGACGATGGAGGCAACACCGAGCAACGAGGCCAGGCCGAACGAGAGTGAGCTCTCTCGATCGAGACACTCTGCATTGGGACTTGACGACACTCTCTCGGTGTCACTTTGGCCACTTTGCGACTACGGTACATATATATAGAGAGGATTCGACGGGCAGCCAGCAGCAGCAGCAGATCGGCGGCAACACCCATTGAAGTGAAGATCGTCTCGTCATCCGGCGATGGATCAGCCAAAACTTAAGAGGTACCTACATTGTTTCGCTTTGTTTCTCTGCTTGCTGAGCTCTGCGTTTGAAGTAAATACATACGACCAGCTAATAATCTCTGCTGTGATGTCCATGAGTGACGAGCGAGCGAGAGAGCGCTGCGAGAGCGTCTCCTTTTCGCTGCAATTGATCATCGACCCGATCGATCACTCCAGGGACTAGCTGAAGTGAGTGATAGCAGCGACTGGTACACCATCAATCGAGCTCGGTGGTAGTAATGGCCGCCGTGGTGTGGTGGTGGTGGTGACGCTGAGCGATTAAAAAGAAACCACAGTCTGGGGTCTGGGCTGGATGGATGGACTCTGCTATTTGTCCTAGCTATCAGGCAAGAGAAAAAATGGGACGGTCTCTCTTTAAATTCCTTTTCTTGCGGTCCGGGACTGGAAGGAATCTGATGGAACTTCCCTATCTCGGCCATTATATCATACAAACTGACCTCTCTTGTGTGTGTGTGTGTAGTGGCTTTCGTATCGTACCCAGCGTTACATCACATTGTTTCATTTTCTCCAACTGACTTGGTTGGTTTTTTTTTTTTTTTCACACTGTACTCTTATTTATAACAGTAGAATACACATCCGATCCACTTCTACTATACACTTGTTTGGGGTCAACATAGCACGACGCGTCCACGTCGTATCTCTGCCAGCTTTGACTGCGCTAATCATAGTTTGAACTATTCTGGGATACTTTTTAAATTTGAACATTTTGGAGGGAAAAATCTCTTTTGCCTGTGTTTCTAGGGTTAGGGCTTTGAGGCGCCTCTTCATTTTCCCAAGAATCTCGCCAGGGGATGGATGATCGAGGGCAAGGTGATGCGGCGAGGGAGGAGGAAGCAGCAATGTGGTGCTCGGCGCCACAGTGTTAGGGTTTTAGAGATGGATCCTGGGGGACGATCGCCGTGGCAGCGGCGGCAGGCTTGATAGGGATGCGCCGCGCGCTCGAAATTTTTGCCCTCTCGTGGAAGCCGCGAATGTGAGTTGGTTTGATGAAAGTAGCGGCAGGTTCTCTTCCTCTTCGTGCGCTCCGGGTGGTTTCGTCCTCCACTAGGAGGCCCCTCTGGTGCCATGCTATCGACGGCAGGATTCACTACGCAGATTGTCCCTGTCGCCTCCTGTTCTTCGTCATTGCAATCATCCAGTGCTAGTGCTTCCTCGTCCTCGTCTTCTAAGCTCCCGTTTGTGAGGTTTGGGAGGCAGCAAGAGTTTTTTCGGCCAATGTGTTGTCAAAAGAACTTTGATGGTTTTGAATGCGGTAGTAAATGGAGTTGCTGGAAGAAGCGGATGAGATTGACAAGGGCAGCCAGGGACGAGTCTTCTCCTTACCTTGAGCCTGATGCGCGCTCGGTACGTCCAGACTTTGCTAGTTCTTCTTTTGGTTTCTCACCATTTTTGGTCGATCGATTCGTGCATGCAGAGTGTTCTTGCCGTCATCCTGGGTGGTGGTGCCGGAACCAGATTGCATCCGTTGACCAAAGAGCGCGCGAAACCAGCTGTGCCCCTGGGGGCCAACTACAGGCTCATCGACATTCCCGTGAGCAACTGTATCAACAGCAACATTCCCCGGATTTACGTCCTCACGCAGTACAACTCAACGTCTCTGAACAGTCACCTGTACAGGGCCTACGCTGGGAACATGGGAGGCTTTAGAAACGATGGTTTTGTGGAAGTGCTTGCGGCCGAGCAGAGCTTAGATAATCCTGACTGGTTTCGTGTAAGTCCACTCCTTGGCACAGCCACACACGACTTTTCTTCTTAACTAAAGGTAAAAATAGGATTCTTTCTTCGTTCGTGGATTGACTCGTGCTGCTGCTGCTGCAGGGTACAGCCGATGCTGTCCGGCAATACCTATGGATTTTTGAGGACCAGGACGTCATGGAATTTTTGATCCTAGCAGGAGACCACTTGTACCGCATGGACTATCAAAGGTTCATTCGGAGCCACCGTCAAACCAAGGCAGACATCACTGTTGCCGCTGTTCCAGTGGAGGAAAAAAGAGCCACGAACTTCGGGCTCATGAAGATCGATTCAGAAGGGAAAATTACCGAGTTTGCTGAGAAGCCAAAGGGTGGGATACTTCAGGCCATGAAGGTGCGTGCATCTTATTTGAGTTGAATCCTCAACGTCGCCTTCGGACATTCTTACAGGTGGACACAACTATCCTCGGTCTAGATCCTAAGAGAGCTGAAGCGTTGCCATATATTGCCAGCATGGGTATATACGTTATCAGCAAGGAGGCGATGTACAAGTTGCTGCATGAAAAGTTTCCAAATGCAAACGATTTTGGCAGCGAGATTATTCCTGGAGCGACCCAGCTTGGCATGAAAGTAAGTTTTTTTTTCTTTTGTGTCTCTCTCAAGCCTTTGTGATTTTTTAATCTTTTGTTCTACTTTCTAGGTACAAGCCTACCTGTTTGATGGATACTGGGAGGATATTGGCACAATCGAGGCTTTTTACAATGCCAACATAGGATTGACTAAGAGCCCTCCTGAATTTAGGTGCACAAGTTTTCAAGGTTTTTCTTATCAATACTTGACGGGACATTCGTGGAATTTTGCTTCTCAGTTTTGATGACAAGCATTCACCAATATATACGCTCCCGAGGTGCCTACCACCCTCGATAATGCACGATGCGGACATCGTGCAGAGCATCATTGGAGAAGGCTGTGTCATTCAGGCAAGTAAAAAAGTATCTAGAGCGTGCTTGAATAACTTCTAACAACTGCTTCTCTACGCCAGAATTGCAAAATCTACCACTCCGTGGTCGGCCTGAGGTCCCGAATTGCAGAGGGTGCGGTCATCGAGGATTCTCTTCTTATGGGATCGGATTTTTACGAGGTGTGTTTCTAGCTTTTGAGTGCTTGCCGTTACGAACTTTATCCGGTTTCTCCAGCAAGAGGAGCGCCGAGAACATCTCCATTCCCATGGCGGCGTGCCCATTGGCATTGGCAAGTACTCTGTCGTCCGAAAGGCTATTATCGATAAGAACGTTCGAATTGGTCGGAATGTGAGGGTATGGACGGTAAAGAAAGCTGTTGACACACATGACCTTACTTTCTTCTTGGGCTGGACTGCTTTTTCTTTTTTCAGATCATCAACAAGGATAACGTGTTGGAGGCTGCAAGGGAAACAGAAGGCTACTTCATTAAGAATGGGATTGTGACGATTATCAAAGACGCAGTTATTCCAAACGGTACAACGATTTGAGCTGAATTCGTCGCATCTGATGCAAGTACGTACATAGTGTGTATATTGGACGAGGAGGACGAGTGTTGTCTGTAAATTTGTGTAGCCAATGAATTCGTTTTCATTTTTTGTTTCTTGGTTTTTTTTGTTTTTCTTTCTACTGTCTAGAAGAGTATTTGTGTTAGCTTAAGTTTTTTCTTTTCTGACGAAGACGAGAATGATTGATTGATTGAATAAGAGCAGCAGAGCAAGGATATGTTTCCACGTGACATATGCGTCCGCCAAAGGTGACTGCCACGTACCGGTTGTCTCTCTCTTCTCTCACAGGTATGGCGGCCGAAGGCGAAGCAACAGCCCTCGTCGCCGGCTCCTCCTCCTCTCAAGGTACTGTGGCTTTCTCTTCGTTCTTGCGAGCATCATGTAGTTACTGCTAATTTTTGACAGGAGCAGCCTCGGTGGAATGGCGGTGTTTGGCGTGGTTTTCACTGCGCCATCCAAGGCCTGGGTTCCACAGGAGATGCATTTAATGACGAGCCAGAGCCAGAGGAAGCTGGTAGCAACGATTGCAAGCATTGGGAGAAGCAGCGGTGGAGTTCATGGTTACAGATCGCGGAAAGGAAGGCGGAGGAGATCACCTCGAAGTGAGAGTGGAAGCGAAAGTCAAGATGAAGCGTTGGTAAGTAAGACTCACTCGTTCTCTTTCGCCAGGTTTTTACTTTATGTTCTATTTTACAGCAGCAAAGTGCATGCGTTTCCAACGAAGGAAATGGAAACGCGAGAGTGACAAGGAAAACGTCCAGTCGCAACAAACGGGCATCCAAGGCAGAAGAAGGAGAAGGGAGTCAGGGGTTTGATTCGCCTGTTGAGGAGGTGATAGCACCCGTGGCTGTGACAATTGTCTCGGACCCCGAGCTCTTCGAATCAGTTTCTCAGGAGCATCATCAGGCGAATGACGACGAGAATGAGCAAGTGAGTTCGAGTGTGGCCGCAGTGGACGAGAACACCTCTGCTGTTCAAGAGGTGGAAGATTCATCGGTTTCTGAAAAAATTGTGGAGCAAGTAGCAGAGATCCAGACGCAAATGGCCGAAGCAGTGCACAGAGTTGTCGACGAAGTGATCCCGGGGCAGGTGACACAGGCCGCGGAAGTGCTGGTGGAGCAAGTCGCAGCACTCTCGATGGTCGAACAGGTTGCCAAGGTGACTGAACAGGTTGCCAACTTACTCTCCAGCGATGGCGAGGAAAGCCTGGAAAGCGATGACGAGTTTGAGGCCTACACCACGTCTGATCTGCCTGAGTTTCGGGGTATTCGAGGCCTTGAGAACTTCACTGTGCTACAGGACGACCATGGGGTAATGACCGTGATTTACGACTTATATCTCTACATTCTCAAGAAGCCGGGGCTGGATTTTGTACTAGGCATGTTTGCTGCGCCAGTGGCCGTAAGTATGTTCTTCACGCTGCTCTATCTGCCTCAGCTTCAGGGCCTGGATTTTGCAAGCAACGTGGTTCAGTATTCTTCGTCATCGAAGTTTTTTGAGCACGGCCTGGAACTGGACTGGGAGGCTGTGTTTCGGGTGCTCATGTTTAGCATCTCCTTGTCTACAGGACTCCAACCAGAGTTGACACCACTCACTCCTTACACGCTCGTCGTAGCCAACATAAATGCTCTGGTTGCGCAGCTCCTGTTTGTGTTTCTCAGCGGTGCAGGTGCTTTTCTCTCTTTTGCAAGATTTGGTCCCTGAAACTTGTTTTGTGAATCTCGGCAGTGTTCGCGAGATTGTCCCAGCCGTCACAGCCGATCCGGTGTTCCTCTGTGGCATTGGTGAGCCCATCGACTGCAAAAAGAAACGGTCGTTCTGTCAGGTAAGCTTGAAGGCAACTTTTTCTCTCGACTCACGCTTCCTTGACTGTGGGCAGAGTGTTTATGACTCGTTACGTTCTGGCTGGACCTCAGCCTTGTGAGCTCGTCGATGTCAAAGTTGATTTGAGCTACAAGTACAACACCATCACCGGAGCAGGAACTTACTTTCGAGCTCAGCAGTCCTTGAAGCTGGTATGTTCAGTTGTTTTCTAGCTAGCCAAATGAGTCTTTGGGTTAAAGCACTTGCCACAGATTCGTTCCGAGGTTTCGTACCTCAACCACGGCATGCTGGTCCGCCACATAATCGACGAGTCGAGCCCTCTCAACAAGCGAACTCCGGAGATGCTCAAAAAAGAAGATGGAATCTTCACGCTGAGCGTGGTAGAGTAATTTACGAAGTCATTTGTTTCTCGTTTCTAATCGCTTGCCTCGCTAAAATTTGCAGGTGGGACTGGAGCGAAGCTCCATGCAATCAGTGTTTCACGCACAACACTACTCCATGGACGACGATCACGTAATCTGGGATGCTGAGTTCCAAGATATGATCTTGATAAGCAAGAAGAACATGCGTATCGTGGATCACTCTAAGCTCAGCCAGTGGCGGCCGGTTAAGATCCCTGATAGCTGAGACACTGTACAAGTTCACAAGAGAGGTATGGCAAACAGGCGTAGATGGACCTATTAGTTCCATCTATTTGATATCCTTCTGCACTGGAGCTGCGAGTTTTCTCAAGTGCTGGAAGGAACGGTGCTTGATCCACTGCCGATCGTATGGCAAGAAGCCGTGAACGTTGGGATCATACCTGCGCAGCACAGAGAAAGCACAAGTTCTACTCAAACCAATTCCAGGAGGAAGGCGAGCAAAGTTACACAAGAGCGCTGATATCTTTCAAGCCATCGATGAAGTCGTAGAGATCGCCAATGTCGTAGCAGATGCTGGTGAGCTCGGGATTGAGATCCTTGAGCTTCTTTTCGTACATTGCGCATACACCTTTGAGAGAAAAGAGCGAGAACTTTTGGATTGGAATCGATCATTGTTTTGGTTTTTCGTGCTCTTCTAATACCTTCCATGCACAGTGGGATGGAATCGAATTCCAGGTACGTTCGGCTGCTTTGATTCTGGTTTTGCTGGACCAGCAGCAAGATTTTCTTCTTGCTAGACATGATCGTCTTCCTTCTCTTCCAAAGAGAGACGGTTCTGTGATTCAAAGAGGAAATGGCGCTGGCGAGATCGCAGCCGTCCAATCCCTGGACCTATATACCGCCCGATCCATTCAAAGCTGGGAATAAAAAATTTAGGTCGAGGGAGGAGGAGGATGAGCGGCATTGTGGCGGATCCAGTGCGCAATGCGGCAGCCGCGATGAGCAGCAGGATGGCGCCGGATCGTGGCAGCACCGGCAGCATCGGGCGTAATCTGTGAGCTCGCGATCGCGATCGCGATCAATTCGAGAGAACTCACTCTTGTTGCTCACAGGTCGGGGCTAGGGAGGCGCAGTGTGGCCAAGCTGAGGCCCGCCAAGGCTCTGATCATCCGCGACAGCTCCTCGGTCGCGGATGCGTGCCGGCGCATGGCGGCCGCTCGGATTGACGCTGTCTTGCTCACGGATTCCGACTCTGTGCTATGTGGGATTTTCACAGACAAGGTACTCACTCCTTCGTTCGCCCATGCGATGCTAGATAGGACATGACGAGCTAAAGTTTAAAGGAAGGTGGTCTTGTCTAGAGCTTGAGAAAGAGGCTTTGCTTGCGGTGCTATGTGCAGGATGTGGTGGCTAGAGTGATTGCCAAGGGTCTTAAGCCCGAAGAAACCTGTGTGTCCTCAGTTATGACCAGGAACCCAGTCTATATTGCCAGTGATGCGCTGGCCGATCATGCCCTCCGGAAGATGATTCGAGGTTTAGCCAAGTTTCTTCCTTTTTCACCACCTCAAATAAACGCGAGGGAGAAGAAACTTACATTGCACTAGCTATAGCTAGCTTTTGGCTTTGAGCTTTATCGTCTTTATGCTGACTTTTTTCTGTCATCAGGGAAATTTAGGCACCTGCCTGTTGTTGACAATGGACAAGTTATCTCTCTCGTGAACATGAAGAAATGTTTGTACGATGCAATTGTTACGCTGGAGTGGCATATGGCAGCGTCATTTGCTGCTATGCACCCGGAAAAGGGTACGTGCTTCTTCTTTTTTTTTTTTCGTTTTCGATGCTGCTGCTATAACTGGCCTTAAAATGCAGTCTCCGCAGCGTCCATTGAAGCTCTCCGGGATCAAACATTTCAACCGACGTTAGGATCTTTGATAATGCAATCTTTCAAGTAAGTGAAGGTTGCTTACAGCTCTCACATTGAACCTTAACTGCAGTGCAGTCACAATCTGTCCGAATGAAACGGTGGATACGGCCACAAAGAAGATGCTAGAGTTCAGCAGCGACTATGTTATTGTAGCTTCTGGCAGGAATCCAGTGGGCATTTTCACGTAAGCCATTAATCTATTATCTTCCAACAAAGCTGAGAAACTTGCAGGTCGAAGGACCTGCTAATGCGAGTTGTTGCTAAAGGCCTTTGCCCAACCTCCACAACCATTGAAAAGGTTTTGCTTGAATCTGTGTCCTCTTGAAACTAAACAACCGTGTGTGGTCAGGTGATGACACGGAATGTGGAGTGTGCCTCGTTAGACACGGCAGTCGTGGATGCCCTGCATATCATGCACGACGGCCGCTTTTGCCACTTACCCATTCTGGACCAAGGTAAGCATACGGGGCCGGCTTGTGTGATTTCGAATACCACTCGCACTTTTTGCAGACAGGAACGTGGTTGGATGCGTGAACGTCATGGCTCTCGTGGAATGCGGCCTTGCCAGTGTAAGCCAGAAGCTTCCAAGGGGCAGAGTTGATTATTGTGTAACGCTCCAGGTTGAGGAAGAAATTGTGAAACTGGATGCATCAAACTCCGTTACCACAGCATGCAGGTAACAAAAACCTCGATCTTCTCTGTATATAATCGTTATATGGTTGCAGCGACGTCTCTGCAAACTTGACATCCGAGTTGATTGCCGTGAAAACTGTCTACCCGTCCCTGTGGCTAGCAAATTTCTTCTCCTTCAAGGTAGAAGACCCGAAAGGCTGTGTCCATCGCTTCACTTGCGGTACCTTGGTCTATCCGCGTCATCATCGTCACTCTCATATCTTGTGTCACGCAGGGACGCAAAGCCTTGAAGAGGTCCTTGCAACAGTTTCGGTCCGGATTGGCTGCGAGGACGAGAACCTCCAACTCTTGGTAAATCCGGTGATAGCGTCGAGTCCATTGATTTGATATATCCAGGTTGACATGGGCAGTACAAAGACGATGAAGGCGACTTGATACTTTTGTCCAGCGACAACGACTTGGCGCTGGCCGTGGCCTCCGCAAAAGCTTACGGAATGAAGGTACAGTATAGCTCGAGTTTTCAAAGCTAAACTTCTTTCTCGCAGGTATTGAGGCTTTACGTCGACTGCCCACACACGGCGGGCAAGCTGTGCAGATGGAAATCGCTTCGCAGGACGGTGATTGCATCCATTCTGGTGATCGTTGGCCTTGGCTTCCTCATCCATGCAAGACAAACTGGCAACGAGCCATGGAAGCTCGCCTGGAACCGGGTTGTCAGCTTTAGGCAGCAGCAAGAAGAAGATCTGTGACATCACTTGATGCTATAACAACCGTATCTCCTTCTTTGACGATGTCACTACCTGGTTTAAATCCCAAAAGCTTCGTTGACAGAACAGTAGCTCAAGCTGACCTCTGGCTTCTCCAGCGTGAACGATCAGAATACCATAGCAAAGTCGGGCACTTGTTGTGATTCAAAGCTCACCTCTATGGCGGCACAAAGCGAACATCAGTACTCCTGTTGCTTTCCAACTCGTTGCTCTCGAAAGTGACGAAGTAGCGCCAGTGCCTAGACACATTTCCGTATCAAAAAATCCCTCTGTGAGCGTAGAAAGAAAGTTGAAGTACCTTATCTTTGCCTCGTGGTGTGCCCGCGAGAGATAACGCATGCAACGGTGGCACCGCGCCTTCCTGCAACACCATTGCTCGGTGCTTGCTACTGTTGATGCAGAGATGGAGCAGAGCAGCCGCGGCATTCTCTTGTCCTCGCGGGGAGCCCGTCTCCACCACCTGGACCAGCGCGATGATGCCTCCTTCCTCGGCGATGGACACTCTCCCTTCTGGCACAGTTGACAGATTCGCCAGTATGGCAACCGCTTTGTCCACCATGCCCCACCAGCGGCCTGATAGCTCCAGCTCTGACCATCCTCGGCTTGTTGTCGTGAGAGGTTGAGAGGTTGAAGAGCCCCGTTGCTGCGTCCTTCTTGCCACCGGGGCTGCCGCTTGCCAGCAGTTCCACCAGAGGAGATATCGCACCCGCGGCACCGATCACTTCCTTGTTGTTGTCCACCACGGAAAGGTTGAAGAGCGTAGCGGCAGCGTTCTCCACTGCTGCGCTGCTTCCCGCTTTCAACACCCTCACCAGTGGATCGATGGCACCCGCCCGGGAGGTCTCCGCCTTGTTGTTGTCGTTGATGGAGAGGTTCAAGAGAAGCTGTCACGGCGATTTCCTGGGTATGCTCGTCACCATCGTCTAATAACGCGATCAGCGGCCTCACGGCACCGGCCTCGACAACCAATATCCTGCTCTGCATGTCGTCTTTAGCCAGCAGGGAGCTCCAGCAAACGGAGAGCTCAAATCAATCACCAAGTTTGTAATGAGTTGCTCGAAAGCCTGCGACATCTCACCACTTCTTGTCACCCTGTCCTGAAAGCTGTTATGTCGTCTGTCAAGCTCCCGTAAGGAATGAAAGCGAGAAGCTCGCCCCAGGGACTTGGTTTGCCTGTAGTAGCGGCCACTGGCCGCGTTCCTTACACAGCCCACATTTTTCTCAAGAGCAGCAGCCTCAGGAGTAGTTGGAGCAACGTTGTTTGCTTGACACCAGCTTGTGATGAGTGCCTTGACCGTATAGTTTGGTATCAAGTTGTCATGTTGCAAACGGTTTACCAGGAAAAAACCCAACTTCCGTGGTTTCATGGCAGATGTTACTGGTGCAAATTGGTTGGCTGTTCAACAAGTGTTTAGAGGTGATAAAAGTTAGCCATTACAAAGTAGAGAGAAGAGTTGTGAATTTCATTGGGCAAAAAATGTTAACGAACATTACTGATGCATTAAATTTAACTTCCATCACGAGTTTAAGCAGTTTTGTCAAGAATGGATGGATGCATCAACTAAAGAGCAGCGCAAGGAAAAAGCAAAAAAGATGCATATATAATGGCATAAAGGAGATAAAGTGCCAATTGAATGCCTTCCACAAATGAAATGTTAGTTTGCATGGTGGGAAGTTTGAATGTTTTAGTGGGGTCATTATACTCTCCATGTAAACTTTCTCTCATTTTTTTTTCTTGTTACATTCAAATGTTGCATTTTTCCTAAGATCAACCACTCGATGACATAACACTTACACCAATAATTAATCTTTCTGAAAGCAAACATTAGAGTTGGAAAGCTTCTGAAGCAGGGAAAGAAAAATTGTTCTTCTATGAAGCTACATTCTTCGACCTCACTAGATCTCTTGATCAGTCATCGAAAGCTTTGGCTGCACAGAAAGCAAATTTTGCTGGTACAAGTCCGAACTTAGACAAACTTTGAGAGTGGGTTGGTAGAAAGACAACACTAGCAGTAGGGTCAATGTCTAAGATGGTGGAGGAAATTGTTGTTGGAACTTCTATAAAATCAAGTTATGAACCACTCGAGGACATAAGGACAGCCCATATGAAGCATCGACAGACATTTGATGGGCCAAACATCACTCCTTCTAACTCTCACCATCCAAAGCGTAGCACATGTGATTATGGGATGAGATTTAGATATATTGTCACTGTGGATCCTTAGAACATTGGGGATAAATGGGGATAAAATAGCCACTAAAGGCTCTCTCATCAAGCAATTGCCCCTTTTCCAATTGGCTTAAGGGGAGAGAAATAAAGTGTGTTATACAGAATTTAACTACCATTTTGTTTCTCGACATTAGAAAAGAACTAAGGAACATGGAGTAAAGGAGGTGCCAGTTGTTACACAAGTGAGTCTAGTGCCAGAGGTTGAGAACGATATTGCTCGTGAGCCAATTTCTCATATCAATTGGGCAATTTGAAAAGTCAGGGCCAAGATCAATGCACGTTGCTCCAGAATGATTGGGAGTAAAGGTTAGTGTCTCACATTTGTGCGCTCAAGTTCAAGTTCTTCAGCAGTGCCATGTTTCTAGGGCTGTCGAGATCTAAGGGTGAAGAGCCACCAACCAAGCTAGATTTACTGTTATAGAACTAATGTTACTCATATAAGCCGGATTCACAACTCAATTATTTTGAAGCTAGATTTTGTGCCAGAGGAGTGGCCAGTTGAGTGAAGTTGCAATCTTTTGAAAGAAGAGATTGAAAGTCTAGAGAGAGTAAGTTTCCCATTAAAGACTTCCTCAAATGTTGCTATTGATATTGATATGCCACCAGTCAAGCTAGATTTACTGTTATAGGACTAATGTTACTCATACAAGCCGGATTCACAACTCAATTATTTTGAAGCTAGATTTTGTGCCAGAGGAGTGGCCAGTTGAGTGAAGTTGCAATCTTTTGAAAGAAGAGATTGAAAGTCTAGAGAGAGTAAGTTTCCCATTAAAGACTTCCTCAAATGTTGCTATTGATATTGATATGCCACCAATGTCAACACTAGACCGGCATACACGACCAAATAGGAATGGGAAGGCTGAAAATATATAGGTTTTCCATTTCATGCGCAAGAGAAGATTAAGTTGGCAAAGGCATTGAAATGCACAATCACAAGGATAAACTACATCAGTGCCGTGGCTAAGGAGTTTGTTGTTGTGACTGAATTGTCAAAGGGTACAAGCTACACTGTCAGAATCTACAAAAATCCATCTTGTACCTATCCAGATTTTACATAGAGGGAGAATAGGGGAAAGGTATATTTAGCCTGCAAGCACATTTATTACATTTTTATGCAGGAACTTATGTAGGAACCAAACAAGCCTATAGCACATATAATTTTTACCATTTATCTTATAGTAATTTACTATAAGATAACTATAAAGCAGAACCTAAACACTCTATGTGCTAGGGCTAAAGTCAAGTTGAATTTACTATTGTGGGAATCAAGCAAGATCCACAGCTTAATTATTTTAAAGCCAAATTCTGTGCTAGAGGAGTGGCTAGTTGAGTGAAGTTGCAATCTTTTGAAAGAAGAGATTGAAAGTTTGAACAAAGCAAGTTTCAAGCTAAAAACTTCATTAAATGTTGCTGTTAATACTACTATGCCACCAATATCAACACTAAACTTGCATACACAACCAGATAGGAATGGGAAGGATGTATAATATGAAGTTAATATAATGTTAAATACAAGTAAGCAATTCAAATGGACTCTCACTAGAAAAGCTACCAAGTATAAGATTTTGTGGAGTCCATCCTTCAACTTGTGCATTCCATGCAGTGGTAGTTTTTTCATCCAACCAATATATATGAATCACCTCCTCCATTTTAAGCCCCCAGTCTTGGATGTTATGGCATACTTTCTCCATCATGTTACCAAGAGTGTTCTGATCATTCCAACTGTACTTGCTCTCAATCAAGATAAAACAATCCTGTGGTGCCTTGCTTCTGCATATCTTTTGTACCCTTATGATAGCGTCCACATACATATTCTTCTTGAGAGAGAATATAAAAGCTTTAGGATCCCCAGCCATAAGCTCTAACGACTCTGCTCTTGATGTTGGTAGCACCTCTGGCTGACAGATTGTCCAATCTAGTTCCTCTGCATGTAACAGAGTTAAAGCTAAAGATCAAATACCCACAAAACTTACCAGGTGGCAAAGGCAATTGAAGATTTAAACCATCCAGGTAGTCACTTAAGCTTGAGTGGGAAGGTATGATGTCCCTGAGCTTGAATTCTTGACCTGCAAAAGGAAAAGAGGAGAGTGTCTGAACATGCAAGAGCATCAAGCTTACCGCCATCCAAGTGTGTTTTCAGCCAAAGCATGAATGTGAACCCAAGGACGTCTGAGTCCTCCTTTACAGCCCAGGAATCGTTTGTCAAATCGGGCCATAATCCTTTTGGGATGGAGTCGGCCAGTGCCAAAGAGTAAGCTGCAATGGGAGAGTACCTGACACGCGCATTTGGAGCGAGACCCGAAAACACCTTGCATGCTTTCCGTGGGGGACGTGTGGGAGGCCCTCGCTCTATCTCTACCAAACCCACAATACCTTGACCTTCTAAATCACCCCAAGTATCTTCAAAGCGCCCGTCCCATACCTTGTCTGCACGTCTGACGATAGTTCCAAGTTGGGAAATGTAGATGGCCTTCAGCATCAGACTAGCTTTAGCACCTGGAATGACTCTCTGCATGCGTTCTGGACTGCCTTGAAGGTCAATCTCTGAGTTGACAAACAGATTTGATGCGTTCTCAACCAACGCCCTGGCTCTTGTCACAACTAATCCCTTCTGCAGCTCCATATTGAACTTCTCCAGTGGGATCGCGCCAAAACTTCGTGACACCAGCCCCTTCAAAAGGAATGAGACAATCCTCGGATTGCCTCCAGCAAAGCGGAGGACCTTCTTCCACTCGTTGCTCAGTTCGATGCGTGCCCCTTGGCGAACTGAGCTCGCCACCCGGTCGAAGAATTCCTGAACGATGTCATAGACGTCGTCATTAGTCAAGGGCGGGAGCGGAATGTAAAGCGTTTGCGCCCTCCTGGCGAGCGATGCTGCAGAATACCGTGTGGTCGCTGCCGTAAACAGCACAAGCGTGTCCGAGGCACGCTTGGATGCGAACCAGGAGACGTATGCAGAAAACATGTCCTGTAACCACGTCGCCTCCCCAACCTTCGAAGCCCTGTTTGCCTCGTCAAAGTACCATGAAAGAAAAATCCTTTGGCCTGTAGGAAAGCCCAAACCCTGCCTGATGAAAGCTATAACATCGTCGAGTCTCAACTGATGCTTCAGACCTGGAGCTCCCTCGTCTAGTTTCTGGAGATGCATCATATTCTGGTGTATCCACCCGACTAACAGCCGCATGAAGGCACCGTAAAGCCATAATCTGCTCGTAGTGAAGACCATCCTCACGCTGCATAAAGTAGCACACCTCTCGTGGGACGAATGACATGAGAAGATCCAGCCCGAAATTTCGGTTTGCTGAGACCATCTTCTTTTCTTGGTTCAAGAGTCCTCCATACCCTTGGTTGCTCCTCGTGCTTCACGGAGATGGTAGCCGAGAACACCCGCAGAACCTCATATACGTCCACTCTACCATCAGAAAGGTGAAATTCATGACCCTCTGCCCCATCTATGTCTTCAATGAACTCTACAAGCTCTTCCATTTCTTCATCATCCGCCATACGCCGCCGCTAGATCTGCACCGTTGATCTGTATGGCTTGAGTTTAGGGCACCACTCTCAGCAAATTGGTATTGTAGAAGAGTTATTTCTTTAACCACGTCTTAGCGAATAAACCACATTTTAGCAAATAATCGTGCTGATGTTTACTCTCAGCCAATGGGTGGTGGCCAATTGCCTGGGGTGAGAGAAGAAGGTGCTGCCACACTGTTGACTGTGATTATGTTGTGGAGTGAGGAATGCATGTGCTCAATGATGTGGCAAAAAAGTAATCAAAGCATTTGAGTTTAATCCTTGCTCCATGCATTTGTAACACTGAAGAATAGACCTCACAAAGTTAATATTCTTTACTTTTAGACTTTGTCTGGCTTTGAGTAATATTAATGTTCTTAAATCTTGTTCTCTATATTAATAAAAACTATTCTTAATAATACTTCTTTGATTTTGTTTGAGTCTGGGTAATAATATATTAGTGTTCTTAAGATCTTAGTATTCTAAATTTTCTTATGCATTAACATCTAATTATTAAATATATTTTTAGCACTTGTTCTTTTACTATTTTATTATCTAATATATTAGTGTGCTTGAATTCTTAATGTTAGAAATTTGATAATATTCTTGGCTTATACTTTGCATCTAATATCTTTAAAAAATATCTAGTCTTAGCAATTCATTTTGTATTTTTTTCTCTTAAAATCTAAGTGTTCTAAATATATTCATATTCCTAAAAGTTCTATGTTCTAATATATATATATATATATATATATATATATATATATATATATATATATATATATATATATATATATATATATTTATTTATTTATTTTCTTATTTATTTATTTATTTAAAGAGAAAAAAATTGAATGACAATATTGATTTGTACTTGTCCAGGATTTGTCTAGCATTAATATTTTATATATATTCAGAAGTTTTACATTTGCTGGACAATACTAGTGATATCATGATTTTGTCTTTTCTCACTTCGTTTCCCCTTGATGAGGATTAGATTTATGCAAAGCTGTGCCTCAAGCTCCAAGTCAGTGTTCAATGTGAGCTTCTAGACCGTCTTCTTACATCAACAATCTTGCAGAATGATCTGTTTGAGCAGGTTTTGAATGAGCATTTTAAGCAGATTGAGACTAGTTGACGCAAGTTAGGCAATTTTCCAGCCTGTCAATCTGCACGTTTGGTGGTTTGAGCGTCCACTCCTTCTTCATGTATTTTACTGTCTAAATTCCTCACAGAATCAGACAAAAGAGGAATTGAGAGGCAAACACGAGACACAAACGTGAATGCATCACATCAGCATTCTTTGTAATAAGCAATGGCTTCTAGCTTACATGTTTGTGCTTCTCTCTCCGGTTTTTTTCTTGTCTTTCTCGTACTAAATTATCTTCCAATTTATTCTTTCCAGGCACTATCGAGCTTAAACGGCTCGAAGACTATGATGGCATCTTGGTGCTGTGCTTCCAGATGCACTGATCTTTGATCTTTCAGTCGTATGTTCTTTCATGTTTAGCTGGAAACCTTGTTCTTACTTTTTCACTTATGCAGGACTTGTCATCACCAAAAGATTCAAACATTCAAGTGTGATGGTTGCCAGCTCAGTTGCAATTTCCAAAACGAGGAGCAAGACGAGACCATATAAACAAGAGCAGGAACTAAAGGTAGGGTTATGTTTTCTTATTTTCCTACACCTCTCTCTCTTCTTCTCCTTCCTTGCTCAGCTATGGCCGATTCCATCTCTCTTCTCCATCCTTTCACTATGTATCAGGATTTCTCTCAACAAGGCAACATGATTGGCCATGTCAGCCGTTTGGAGATGGTTTCTATCTATTGGAGCACTCTTCTCTGTTCTTGGTGTGGTGGAAAGTGGCACATCAGGGGTTTCTCATGCACGACCATTACAGGCAGAGCAACAGGGAAAGGTTCCTTAACAATGTCCTAAAATGAAAGCAAACGCGACCCTGCAAAAAGGAATGCGCTTTGAAACCGGTTTACCCTAAACCCTAAACTGATAATCTATATACAAGGTTCTGACGTGTAACTTGGAGGCCTTTGGCAAGACTATCTTTGGCAAGATGAGCAATGCGGCATGTCCAATATGCTGATGCCACAACTCGAGCTGGTCCAGGGCAATAGAGAGCAAGTTCACACTTTCTTTGGAACAAGGTACACGTCATGGATAGTGGTACTGAAACCGCTCAATTCAAAACGCTCCAAGAAGTCAATCCACCAGCTACCATTGCAGTAGGGATGGCAGGCAGCTACAAATCACTGGTTGAGGTACCATACTGAGAAGCAATGTAAAGAGAATGTACAGTAACAAAATTAGTTGCATCGGTTGATGAATTAGCGTTCGTCATTGGACACTTGGGCTCCCTGTGAGCAGTGCGGGCATGGGTCGAACTTCTTGGTCGAGCTAGAAGGACTCCCATTAGATCGTGATGTTTTCTTCTTGCCTGTCTTTCAGGTGGTGTTGTAGGAAGAAGTCTTGGATCTTCTCCCTCGTCTTACGGTGCAAGGCAGTGTTATCACTTCTCGCCAAGTGCTGTTGATTGAAGCAACTGGTCATCAGCCTCAGACATCGGCATGGAGTAAAGCTTCCTGTGAAGCTGTGTGCGATTAGCTGGTTTCTGCTGCTCGTGGATTGCTGTGAGGGTGGCCCATGCCCTCCTAGAAGCCCAGGGCTTTATCATTGAGCGCAGCCCATTTGTCCTGCTCGGCTTGTTCAAGGTCTAGGAGGTAATATTTGATTTCTCTTTTCCAGATTGATAAAAAGCGGTATGGGGGAACAATTCGAAGAAGGGGAGGGGGAGGAGGAGGATTAAGAGGAGGAGGCTGTGGCATCTCCTATAGGAGGTGCTCTTATCCACTTGGTTCTCATGAACTGAGTGCTCCACATAGTACGCTGCTGCTCATGCCTATGCATTCTACACTGCCTTTGTCTCCTCATCATCTTGGATGTCAAACACCCTCTAATGCCATGTTGTCTAGTGTAAGAGAGATTGATTCAATAAAAATTGGATGAACAGCATGAAACCCAAACATGTCTCCTTGTTCGAATAATGATTGTTAAAAGTTATTGGGGAAGCCATTTTGGCTTGTTAGTTTTGATGTTGAAGTTAGTATTTACATCTAGCAATTATTAGTAATGATTCACTATCATCTACGGTAGTTGATTATCCTTATCAGAAATTCTCTGCACATTTGGCAATGAGGTCTTTTTTATTATTGGTAAAAATGATTTGCCATTCTTCAAGATGGTAGATTCTGCAATTTTTGATAATTCAATTTTATCATTGAGTTTCCTTGAATATTCTTGCTATTGAATTTTGTTGGATAGTGATTCTTATGTTTCCAACTATAGTGATCTTGGTGGTTCCTATACTATAATACTAGTTTATCGGATGATAACTTACTTGGAATACTTTTTGTTCTAATATAAGATTTATTCACTAATAATTAAGTCTTTGAGATATCATTGTCTATGACTTTGATATTGTTCATCTATCGATATTTGAATTTAGGCCGGTATAAGCAAACTAGTTTTAGCACTTCATGTGCATGATGAAATCTCTAGTCATGGAGTAGCTACTGTCGACTGGTCACATTCTCTGTTGATGTTCCTTATTCTGTTAAAAGGGCGTGACCATGTAAACAACTCTAACTACCTGTTTACAATAGTCTATCTAAACCTTACTGGGTTTGGTTTCTTTGCTCAAGAGGGTTGGGGCCTCTGGTTTTTCTCTCTATGTCCTTGCGGGCAGGGGCATATCACACTTTTGTAAGCTGGGTGACACCCAGAGCAGCAAGGGTGGCTAACTCTGTTGGTCATTTTCTTGTCGGTGACGGCCAGAAGGTGTCTAAGTTGGTAGCACATTCGTGTTAGACAAAGAGGTTGCCTTCTAACTCATTTAAGTCAGTGCATTTCTCATATAGTGTGATCACCGTGAACTTTTTCTGGAGTTGTTTCCTTGGCAGTGGTCTAGACTCGAGTATGCATCGACGAGGACGTCGATCTTCCCTAGGGGGGGAGAGTGTCGCAAATGTGACTTTGGGTATCAAAAGTTACTTGTCGGTTAATCTTTTCGAATATTCTTTTCTTATTGCCACAACGGTAGGAGATCAGTATTGCTAGACCTGTTATCAGTATCCGACTAAGATAGTTGAGAAACTGATCTTTGTATGTGCACTTAGCTCCCGCTTGCGTGCCTGTCCTTGTTTTGAGTCCAGCTTAAGTCTAAGCCCAAGTTCCATTCCATGCTAGCTGGTGGAGTACCTATGTCCTTGCGTTAGGCCACCAATATGTTGTAATAGTGCTAGACTCCATTTGGCTCTGTTTTATGTGCTGGTCTTGGCAATGGGATGTTGGTTGCTCTAAAACTATTCCAAGTCGCTTCAGGCTCTTGTCCCTTCGCTCCTTGGGCTGTATGCTCGAGAGTTGATCTATGGTCCAGTTCTGTCATTCCTTGGCTTTATGTTAGGGAGTTTGGTACCATTCCTTCGTTCAGTGGCCCAAGGCTCTGAACCTCAGGTTCCACACTACTGTCCTATGGACATGTGGCATATGACACATGGCACATGGAGGGCTTAGGTTTTGCTTTGTAGTGTTATCCTATGGTAAATCACCATAGGGTAAAGGGTAAAAACCACGTGCACTACATAAACCCTTGGCCAAGTGTTGAGGATAGTGTTGCTGCGAGAACAGGGTGGCTGCAAGGGAGACCAGAG